TGTTCAAAAAATAAAAAATGTCCATTTTGACAAAATGGTAGTTAGTTGAGAGAATTTTGTGTTCTTAAGACAAAGCTTTTTCTCCATTGTTGCTTTGTCCCCGAGTGATGTGTGCAAGGTCCCCAATGTGGGGATAGTGTATTGTATGCCTTCTCGGCTATGGATGTCTATGGATGTGAATGTCTCGGGAAGGGCTGATGATCATAAGGTACCGCGTGTTGATCGCTGACATGAGTGCATGAATGCGTCGGTCCTTTCCGTCTCCCTCCCTTTTTGATTAATTGCCCTTAGCCCCCGCGAGAATGTGTGACACGTGCTAACCTCCTCTCATTCTCTCTCTCTCTCTCTCTCTCTCTCTCTCTCTCTCTCTCTCTCTCTCTCTCTCTCTCTCTCTCTCTCTCTCTCTCTCTCTCTCTTCGTGCGCGGCTCGGGACTTCTAAGGGGAGGCGGATACTTTCAGAGGGATCGGCCAGCCGCATCCACGTGAAGCGGCCGACCTCTCTATCTCCCCTAAGGGTTCCTGACACCGCGTTTAGGTGGAGGTTACTGAGAAGAGATGGAAAAAGGAAGCTGGGTTCATCCTTCTTCGGCGCTGGGTTCATCCTTCTTCGGCGGTGTTCGTCGATCTTTGCATGGAGTCAGGTTTCCTCTCGACGAATGGAAGAGCGGGTCGTGGCCCGAGCTCGGACCTTGTCTCAGAGCGTCGCAGCGCGCTACCGCCCCTCCCGATCAAAGACGACGATGGCATATACTGCAATGTGGACGGGAGGAGCTTGCTGCGGTGCACTGAGCCAATCCATCTTTATAACCCGACCCAGGCGTGCCACATATAGGCGGGAGTGGGTTTATGCTGGACACTGCTGGTCGAGTGATTTGCTTCCGCGTCCTTAACTTTGCCATACACAGACCTCACGGTGTTGCCCTGTTCCGCTGTGCACGCAACCTGACGACCGCCGTTTAATTGTCACTAGTGTCGCCAGGGGGACTCGTGCTCGGGGCGACGGTTGGTCCTGGGATATGAGCGGGCTACTCGATTCCCCGAACTCTCCCGCAACGCGGGTGCGCTCCCCGCCCATTTCCGAACCTGGGTCCCATCGACCTGCCCAACCCCGGGCGAGCCCGTGCCGCTCCGTCCGCACGGACTCGACGAGTCTGGCAACGAAGCCTGAACCTGTTCTATGGGCCTTCACCCCCAAGGGCCGCGGGAACCACGCGCCTCGGGGAACGGAACTTCGTCCCCGTTGGCTTCGTTTCTCTCCTCCCCTCCCCTCTTGTTTTGTGTTTTAAATTTTCCTTTTTCCATTGGGGAACGACGATCGGCCCGTAGGACGCCGTCGTTCACCCCTGACGACAACTCAAGCCCCAGCCCGGGCACCTCGGCCTGAAGCCAGAGACCCCCGTTTCGACCGCCGGGTGGGTCAACCCCAATGGCCAAAAGTCCTCGACCACGCCCCTAACTACTCTGATGGACGTCCGAAGTACGGAATGCCGCGCGGGGCGTGAGGTTGCGCATCACAAGACCACTTCATCCTGCACACATTCAGACATTCTTGCCTACGCTATTCACAGCTGGGTGAATGGGGACTGCCATAGACACATCAGCTGGGGGTACGGAATGGGGAAAACCAGCGGTCTGAGAGCAATCAAGGATGCCACTGCAGCTGTTATTGTTGTTTTTCCTAACGCCACCACGTTTGGGTCAGTCGATGATAGGAGGCAATCTATGGATTGGTATGCTGAGAAGGGTTTCCCCAACTGTTGTGGGTGTGTGGATTGCACACACATCTAAATTGACAAACCCCATTTGTGTAATGGAAACCACTTTTGCTCCGGAAGGACCAAACGATTATCCATTGTGGGTCAGATTGTATTCGACCATGAGCTGCGCATCCTAGACCTCAACGTCGGTTATCCTGATACGGTCCACGATTCCAGGATCTTGCGGAACTTCCGATCAGGAAGTCGCGCTGGGCATGTGGTTGGGTGTCACAGCGGTGGGCGATCTGCCACTGCAAGGATGTGACCTTGGCAGGCCTGACCCTGCTGTCAGCGAACTTTCTGATCCGTGCAATGAGGGAGCGGTCTACATTGAGGTGTCTGGCCCACCAATCATTTATCAGGTCTCGCACTGGTCGTTTGGGGCGGAGCATTCTGTTTGTGGATTTGACCGACTACAAAGATCCTAAGTAGAGACTATTCCAATTTAAATCCCTGGCCTGATTGAGGCATTGGCATGCCTATTTTCGCTCAAGCGGTTAACGGACTCGCAGTGGCCGGAATGGTGATCACGCGCATGACCTAATCGATGGCCCCTCAAATTTTTAGAATTTTCTGTGAGTTCTTCTGAGCACGAAAAATCACCAAAGTTGCCCTACTTTTTCTGTTAGCCACACATGGTAGAGTGGGAAAAATAGAAATGCACCACAATGGCACGACGATTATATATATAAATATATTCCCTGATACTTTTCCTGGAATGATCATGACCTAATCTACAAACCAAATGTTTAGAATTTTCTGTGAATTCTACTGAGCATGAAAAATTCAAGTTGTCAAAGTCGCCGCTCTGCTTGCATTGGTTTTTCATTTGTTCAGGGTTAGATTTTTGGTTGCTTTTCCTTTTTTGATAGTTTACACTGGTTTGCTCGTTTGTTTTAGGGTTTCAGGTACCAATTAGAGCTTAATAGGGTATAGAGTTGCAACCTGGGGATTTGTTTGTGATCATTGATTTGGGCTGTGGTTGGGATAGGTTTGGCCGAAAGCTCCTTGCTTAGACCGTTTGGTTGCAGCAAATGATGTAAGGGACACCCCGTTTGGCTGCAGCAAATGCTGTAAGGGAGGTCGTGGCCGGTTCCCGGCTATATGAATATATCTACCTCTTCTTTGTAAAAGAAATCGGGGGACTATATGAATATATCTACCTCTTCTTCATAAAAGAAACCGCGAGACTACGTTGGCAATGGTCGCCACCACCCTCTGAAAACCCCTCTGTTGATGTCGAGCCTAAAATCTCCTTGCGCGCCAAAGAGAAATGAACCCGGTGTCAGCCTCATTTTGGCTGGTGCCGCCGGCCATTTCGGCCCAGTAGCACCGAACCCTGCCGGCCTCCCGGCCCCCCATGTTACCGGGCGCATCTCAGCAAAATAGCTGGGAAAGGTACGGGGGTTTCAAGATTGATGCCTATCTGCTATGTATGACACACCTCTACGGTTCTACCCCATCGATCATTCACGCCCCTGCGTGCAGCAGTACGTTTTCCTGGTTGAAAAACAAATATGCTGCTCGTTTTATGGGCACAACTTTCGGGTTCCAGGGTAGTGGACCAGAAAGGCTGGCGGCACCAGCCAAGAGGAGGCCCACACCAAAAAGGCTGGCAGCACCAGCCAAGAGGAGGTCCCCATAGTGGACCAAAAAGGCTGGCGGCACCAGCCAAGAGGAGGCCTGGACCAAAAAGGCTGGCAGCACCAGCCAAGAGGAGGCCCACGAGGAATGGGGAAAATCAAGCCAACGGACAGGCAGGGGTCTGCTCTGGTTTCGGAAGACGTGGACTGGGGATGATTTTTTGGCAACTATCAGTCCAGATGGAAAACTGCAAGTTTGCAAATGGCTGCTTTAATACTACGCTGGTGGGGAAAAGAGGTCAGACTATTCTATACTTGGGGAACAGACGAAGGGGCAGGAGAGGGATCGAGTTTTTTTTTTTTTTTTTTTTTTTTTTTTAAGCTATATTCTTCTCTCAATTTCACCTCACACTACCTACCTACCACTACTCCTAATTGTAGCCATACGGGGAACCCCATAGCAGCCAGAACCGTGTTCATGAGAGAACATGCGGGGGCTGCTCCCGACCTGCACGTGGGCGATACCAGCTACCGGTAGGGGACAGCCGGTAGCATCAGGGACCATCACAACAGGACCAATCCCTGTGCCTCCCCTCAGGTCTCCAGTGGAATATCTCTAGGTGGCGGGCGCCAAGCATGCCCAGGAAGGTACATGAGGTCAATGGGGATCGAGTTTTAGATCCCGAACTCTTTTTTTGGAAATAGAGGGATTTTTGCCTAAGGTAGAGGCACCTCTCTTCCCCCCCTCCCTTTTTTTTCTTTTTTTTTGGAAGTAAGGGGACACTGAACCCGGTTTCCAGGAGCCTACAGCTGGGTATTGGCCCGAGCATGTGATGTACCCGGTTGTCTTGTGGGGTGTATTCCCGGGACCCTGTCCTTGGATTTGAAATGAAATCGTGAACTCCGGAAAAAGAAAAAAAAAAAAAAAAAAAAGGAGGCCTGGGCAAAAAAGGCTGTCCTTGGGGAGGGAGATCCCAGTACCATGGATTTGGATTAGTGTGACGGGTGTGGGACGGGTGGGTGACAGGTGGGTGGCAGCGTGAAATAGGGAAAATAAATGCAAAAAAACATTTCATGACCAAACAAATGAAGGAATAAAATCAAAAAAAGAAAAGAAAGTGCTCTTCTCACAGATGGTGTCTGCTCCAGCCGGGGTGTCAGATGTCAGGGCATGATTTAGGGGCTCGTCAGACACTCCTCGGGCGCTCAAAAATCCCGAGGAAATGATCGTTCCATCTGTCCTCGGAGAGAGTTCCTTGGAAACCGATGTGAAAACATTTCCTCGGGGTGTCCTCGGGGTGTCCTCGGGGCGTCCTCGGGCCACAGCCATTTGGCTGCGCTCCCCAAGGTACCTCGCGAGGTCCCTCGGAGTGGGAGTTTCCGCGAAAATCGGGACGGCGGCTGCAGCCTTCGACGACAGCACAGTTTTGTAGTGTGGTACAACGGTGGTCCAGCCGAGGTGCGGGCGGACATTACCGGCCGGCAACGTTCGACTTCGGTGGGGACAGCGGCAACAGTAACGAAGAGTGGTGGACGGGGTCCATGGAGGGCCCGAGGTGACCCGGCCGCTCGCACGTGCCGGCGGGAAACGGACAGGCCTCCAACGGGCGGTCGTTTCGAAATTCGTCCGGCTGTACGTTCGTCCCCGAGAGCAGAGGTCCGCAATGTAAACCAGCGGAGGGCGCCATCAGCCATCACTTGTCGTCTGCTGTTTGTCGCCGTCAGGTTGGCCGTTACGCTGCGGTTGTCTTACATGGCCGACGTGTTCCGCAAGCTGCCGCTGCTCCTCCTCGTCGTGATTCTGCTTGTCGTTGTCGTCTTTGTTCACGTGTGCATATTGGGGAAGTTGCCTTCACGTACTCGCAGGAAAGGCGGGGCGAGGAAGAGCGTTGCCATGGACGGGAGGCGGCCGACTCAGAGGACGGTGTCCGCCCCTTATCCGAGCGACCGGGCTCCGATCTGTGCCGGTGTAGACAGAAGGGCGGCAGGTCCGTCACCGTACGAAGGACTGTCGCCTAACTTGCAACCGCTGCCCGATTCGGACGAGGGGGAGGCGGAGGTGGACGTGTCGACGACAGTTCCGCTGGGTAGCGGGTCTACCCAGGAGTGGACGGGTAGCCGGTTGTATGATCGCCGTGGGACGAAGTACGGGCAGTCGTTCACTTCCCTCCTTCACGACGGCGCAGAGGAGGAGGATTGCCTCCCCCCTGTCGATCTCACATTTGGCCTCCGGAGCGGGAGCCCGTCTTTTGTCACGCGCACTGTGCTCATGAACCCTCATCGCGACGCCGACCCAGGGCAGGTCACATTCGGCGGCAGGGGCACGAGGGGCGGAGCGGCGGCAGAGGTGACGTCGGGGAAGACGACGGCATAGCCTCGAACGCAGGCGACTTCTGGCCCGTCAGTTCCACGCACTGTCGGGCAACGTCCTGAGTGGATGACCCTCAGTCCTCCTTTGTCCGGGGGGCGCGACGACGTTCGTCGTCCCGTAGATCGGGCTGTAACTCACGAAGATTTCCCTTCTTAGGGCGCGCATGGAGATGGCAGGCGGGTGTGGAAGGAGGCGAGGCAGGAGTTGCAGCGGCAGCAAGAAGAGTCCATAACGAAAGGTGTGGAGCGTTTACGCGTGGGCGAGCGGAGTGGACAAGCAGACGTGGCTGTTGGGGGGGGTGACGCTTGGGCAAACGCTGCCGAAGTTCAGTGCGACGTAGACGACGACGATAGCGGCGACGTGTTTCCGTTGCGTGCGCCGAACATGGGCGGGAGGGGCGGCAGGGGCAGCACTTCGACTAGAGCAGTGCGTAGGCGGACGAGATCGACGACGGCCTCTGCAAACGCGGAAGGCGAGGGTGACGGGGAAGGAGGGCGGAATTTCTGGTCCATGGAACACATGGTGGCCCTAATCAGGGCGAAGCGGGATCAGGACGCCCAACTGCAAGCGTCGGGACACAACTTTGCTCGGATGCGGACAAGGGAGTGAAAATGGATGGACGTCCGGGAGAGGTTGCTGAAGGTCGGTGTCGACAGGCCGGGAGACAAATGCGGGAAAAAATGGGACAATCTCATGCAGCAGTTCAAGAAGGTCCACGCTTTCATGGGCATGTCGGGGAAGGAGGACTTCTTCCAGTTGACGAGTCAGCAGAGGGCAGAGAAAGGATTCAACTTCAATATGGATCGAGCTGTGTTCGAGGAGATCAAAGGGGCGAGGGAGAGGAGCCACACTATCAGCCCGACCAATGTTGCAGACACTGGCGGGGCAGGGGGAGTGCAACTCCCATCTGCACAGTCGGCGACTCCGGAATCTATGGAGGATGGGGAAGCCGCCGGTGAAGGAAACGACGAAGACGACAGCTCAGCACGGGGTGGCTCACAGACGAGTGGTGGCCCGGTCGGGTTCGAGAAGAGGAAGAATGTGCGGCAGAAGACATTCAAGGCGTTGTCGGAGTGCATGGACAAGCATGGGGCGTTGATGGCGTCGAGGATGGAGAGCGCCAGCAGGAGGCAGTGCGAGACGATGGAGAGCGCGAGCAAGAGGCAATGCTCCATCTAGATTCGGCAGTGCGAAGCTATCGAAGCGGAGGTGGAGATCCAGAAACAACACTGTGATGCCTCCACTGAAGTTAGCAAGCTTATGTGCCAGGCGCTGATGGAAATAGCGAAGGCTATACGGGAACGGTAGACACGTGCGACCGCCGAAGGTCATTGGTCGGCTGTGGCTGTCACATCATTGTGAATCCGCTGTCGTCGACCACAGTCGGATGGGTGTGGACGTTGCTCGTGCCTCGTTTTTTTCCATGGATATGAGAGAGAGAGAGAGAGAGAGAGAGAGAGAGAGAGAGAGAGAGAGAGAGAGAGAGAGAGAGAGAGAGAGAGAGAGAGA